GGACAACCGAGCATGAGGGTTGTGCTAAGGCCTCAGGAGCAGGCGGCCTCCCTCTGCAACTCATCAGCACCCAAGGCCTCAATTTACTGCCTCCACTCCCCCGCCCGCTGGCTCTGACCTCATTAGGCTCCTGTCCCTTTCCCAGGATGGGGAAGAGGAGGAATGACTCCTTAGTTCGAAGAGCAAGATCCCTTGTGGGAGGAGGGAAAGTCCTGAGGGTGGGGGAAGGGGAGATGGGGCACAGAGCTTAATATAGTCACAGGGCAGGAGGAAGATGTCAGCTCCTATTACACCTGCCACCTCGCCCCCATCATATGACCCAGCTCCCTCTGGCGAGGCGTGGGCAGGGTAAGAAATGCTTTGGTCCTGGGAAGGGCTGGGGGCTGCTCCCACCCCCACACCGCCCCGCTCAGCTGGGTGGTCCTGACTTGAAGGGAGGGGAGGGAAGAGAAGGAGTCTCCAGCACTGATCCCAGCATGGATGCCAAAGGGACCGGTCTCTCTGATCCACACAGTCCCCCACCTCCCTCCTTCACCCCCAGATTCGTGGTCCCAAATGACGGCACACCTGTGGGCAGAGCCTCAAACCAGATTAAGGGGCTTGAGAGTCAGGATGCAAAGTTGCTGTGAAAATAGGGTTCAAGACAAGCCCTTCCTGCATCGAAGTCTGAGCCCTATCCCCCACTGCCCACAAGGAGGGGGAGACACAGTCCTGCCCTGGGGGAGTCCCAGTGTGATGAAACAGGGAAAATCCCCTCTGCTGGGCTTCCTGTGTGACCTTGGGCATTCACCTTGACATTTCAGAGCCCAAGTTTTCTTGTCCATGAAGGGGCAACTCTGCCACATCCCTCAGAGGGGCTCGTGCTTGCCTGGCAGGTAGCAGAAGCTGAATAAAAGGTCATTATTCCTCTGTAGTGGGGGCTTTTGGTGGAAAAAAATCATCGCCTTTGGTCTTTAACGGGGGATTACATTAGCATCCCGGACACACACTATTCCCACCTGAAGACGGGTCATCTCTGGAAGGTCTGGCTGCCCTGACACGCCTCCACAGTCTCCCCTGGCAGCCCCAGGCTTGGCATTTATAGTCAACAAATATCTGGAAAGTCAGCCACACAAGTGGCCCCAGGCCTGAGGACACAGGTGCACCATGGGACAAGGCATCCACCCTAGAAGACGCTCTCCTTTGGCTGGCTTCTGGTCATGGACTGCCTGGTAACCAGTTTTTCAAATTTACTTTTTATCGAGGTGTAAGATTTGTGCAACAAATCGCACAAATCTTAAGGGTAGAGCTTGGCAAATTTGTGCATATGGACATGCCTGTGTAGACCTGGCCCATATCAAGCATGCAGTATTTCCAGCACCCCAGGAGTCTTCCTCAAGCCCCAACCAGTCGATCCCTTGCCCCAGAGGTAACCCCTATTCTAACTGGTGTCCCCACAGATTGGCTTTGCCTGACCTTGAGCCCCATGCAAATGGACTCCAAGGGCATGCCCTCTGTGTCTGACCCAGTCTGTTCAGCCTGAGGTCTATGCACGTTCCTGTGAGTGTTCCTGCAGGTTTTTTTCTTCCTTTTTCATGGCCAAGTAGCCTTCCATCGAGTCCCTCACAGCTCATTTATCTGTTCTTTTGATGGACTTTTGGGTTGTTTTGGGTTGTAGAGAGAGAAAAAAAGAGAGAGAGAGAGCACATCCATGTGCACAAACAGGGGTAGGTGGGCAGAGGGACAGGGAGAGAACCTTCAGCCGACTCTGAGCTGAGCGCGGAGTCTGATGCAGGGCTCGATCTCATGACGCTGAGATCACGACCCGAGCCAAAATCAAGAGTCTGACACTTAACCAACTGAGCCATCCACGCGCCCCTCCACTTCTGATGTAATATGATTACAGCAGCCATAGCATTCTTAGACACATCTTTTGGCGGCATAAACACGGCGACCCATTCTGGAGAGCACGATTTGGGGATGGATGTGTCATTAAGAACTCCAGGGAGGCACGGAGAGATTAAATGTTCCTCTGAGTTCCCCGGGTAGACGCAGAGGGTATTCCGCTAAGTGAACTAAGTCAGGCAGAGAAAGACAAATACCATATGATTTCACTTATATGTGGAATCTAAAAAAACAAAACAAAGATGCAAACAAACCAAAACGGATGCATAAATACAGAGACCAAATGGGGAGGAGGATGAGCGGAAAAGGTGAAAGGGATTAAGAGGTACAAACTTTCAGTTATAAACTAAGTAAGTCACGAGGATGAAAAGTACAGCAGAGCGAATATAGCTAGTAGTCAATGATATTGCAGTAAAGTCATATGGTGACAAATGGTGACTACCATCTTACATATCATCTTCTTATCTTGGGGAGTACTGGCGCGTTGAGTCACTATGCGGGACACACAAATACGACATTGACACTCAACTGTACTTCAGTGTTTAAAAATTTAAAAGTAAAAACTTATTGAGCTCCTATCTTAGACCATGAGCTTTTTTGGGTCCACCAGCCACTCACAGGGGAAGGAGGACAGACACAAAGGCACACCCAAAAGGAACTCCACCAACCTCATCACTGAACTCAGAGCCAGTCATGTGTGTGAGTGTGTGTGTGTGTGTGTGTGAGTGTGATTATATTCATTTCCTAAGGCTGCCATAACAAACTGTCGCAGACTTGGTCGCTTAAAACAACAGGAATTTAATCTCTCATAGTTGAGGAGGCCAGAGTCATCCAAGCGTTGGCAGGCTTTCTTTATTCTGGACACTCGGAGGGAGGGTCTTGCATGTCTCTCCACTGGCTTCTGGTGGTGGCGGGCAGTCCTTGGGGTTCCCTGGCTTCGAGCTGCCTCTCTACCATTCCTGCCTCCTCTGTCTCTGACCTTCTTCCCTGTATGTCTCCGTGTCTCTGTGTCTCCAATTTTCTCTCTCCCTAAGAAAACAGTAGTCACTAGATTTAGGGTTCTCCCCTAATCCACTGAGATGTCATCTCAATCTGAATACATCTACCCAGACTCTTTTTCCAATGAAGGTCAAGTTCCCAGATACTGGGGGTTAGGACTTCAACCTCTCTCTGGAGGGACACATTCTCCCAACAAGTGATTATGACTCAGCACGTTTGTATGTGAGTGTACATGAGTGTTTGTGTGGGTGTATACAGCGAGAGGGAGCACAGTGTGTGTGTGCACGTGCTTGCCAGGGCATGTCCACATTGGTGTCCCCGGCTGTGCTTTCGTGGCCGTGGGCACGTGGACGTGAGCAGGTGTGCCTGTGTGCCCCTGTGCTCAGGGCTTTAGGGACCCCGCTGGCCCTGCTGAGGAGGGTGGTAAGGCAGCATGGCCGCCCAGCGGCCCAGCTCCTTGCTGTGGCTGAGGACGTGCTTGGGGCTATCAGGGGTGGGCGAGTGGAGCCTTGCCTCACAACTCCCGAGAGTGAGCTGGGCGAAGCAAGGACAAGGCTATTTGCTTAGCTGGGCCAGGGCTGGTAGGCTGAGGAAGCGGCTCTGGGTGGCAACGCCTATTCCCGGGTCCTTTTCCAGTAATGTTCCTAGAAAGCCCCTCCACCCAAGCTCCCATCCCCTGCTCCTACCTGGATGGGGAGGCTTTGACTGACTCACACCCTCTCCGGGCTGGAAGCCAGTCCTCACCTCCCGCCCTGCCAGGCAGGTAGGGGTGGGGCAGGTAGCCAGCCCCTCCCAGGCCCCGCCCCCAGGCCCCACTACCACCCAGTCAGCCACCATGCCCAGCCTAAGGCCCCACAGCGGGGAGGGGGAGAGAGAGAAAGAGGCAAGTGCACGTTCAGGTTAAGGCCCAGAATGAGGGCTGCTAATCTCCCAGGACAGTTCTTTTAGGCAAACCCCCCACCCAGAGACAGGACATGGCAGCGTCTCCTCCATAGTTGGCTTAGGGCCCGCTCAGAGCCACTCATCTCATTTCACCCTCCCAACCAAGTTTAAATGGGGCTCTCCTCATCCCCATTATACAGATGTTATTGCGGGGTCCTAAGGAGTTAAACGGCCTGTCTAAAGTTACACACATGTGTTTACGTCTGTCGGCATTTTTTTTATTCTCCCTGGAAATCCACACCCTACCCGCTCCTCCTCGCTCAGACCACAGCTGCTCTCACGGCAGCCCACCTGCCCACCATGCACTCCCCCTTGAAGTGTGGTCTTGTTCCCACTCTGCCCCAGGAAGACCCCCTGGCCCGTGGGGTGGCCGGACAAATTAGGGGGTGGTCTATCCTTCTCCTCCCACCCTCCTGGACTTCTCTGCAGTGTCCTGGTTTTGGGTTTGGTGTGGCCGTGAGTTTACTGCCTCTCTGAGAATGCTGGCGGGTCTGTGTGCGCACGTCTGGAGGGTGGGGCTGTCTGGGCTCGCAGGTGTAGCTCCAGCTGGGCTGCCCGTTGCAGACACAGGAGGGCAGAGGGCAGAGCTGCGGTGGGATATGCATTGCACAGGTTGTATCTGTGAGTGTGCCTAGGCACAGATGTGTCAGCCCCTGCGGGTGTTCATGTTTGGGTCCCTGTGGCATGACTCCCCCCTTCTCTCCCCTTACCATAGAACTGCCACCATCCTCCGTTTCCAGACTCCTGGCCCCCAGGTAAGAGCCTGGTAAAAGCAGCCTACATCTGGGGACAGAGACACCTGAGTGTGAGGCCCCGCCTGCTCTGGCCACCGGAGCCCTTGAGCTGGCCCCACCCCGGCAGCGGGAGTGTCCTCATCCAATGGGATGGGGTGACACGGAGGAGGAGGCAGCCCTGCAGCTTCTCCCGCCCCCAGGAATACAGGGAGCACCCGGCTCCCTACATGGGAGGTTCATTACCCCAGCACTCAGTGGTTTGGAGCAGGGGCGGGGGGGTCATGCCAGGACTTGGCACATACTACAAAGTGTGGGGGGCACCCCCAGCACTCCCGCCCGCCGCTGGCCGGGGGAGGGGCTGTGACGTTCGGTGGCCTCATGCTGCTGAGAGGAAGTAGCTAATTGCCGACCTGATGACTGGGCAGACTGAGGAATGGGGTGATGATGCCACTCACGGAAGCGGGCGCCCCAGCACAAGGAGGGGGCCCAGCAGGGATGGGGTGGGCCAGGCCAGCGCTCTGCAGAGGCTGAAGTGGTTGTGGCCAAAGGAGCAGGGGGTTGGGGGTTGTTGAGGCTGGGACCGTGGGAAAGGACTTCTCCCCAGCTTCCCTCAGCTTTAAGGGAAAAGAGTTGAGAGGCCCCAGGGGATGAAGGGATTTGGGAAGGGGCTACAGGGGGGTGGACAGGGAGGAGATGGTGGCAGAAGCTTCTTTACTCCCCTCCCACCAACACTACCCAACCTTCCCAAGTTTTCCACCCTTGCCCTTGGCCACTCTTTGGCCCCTGTGGCCCTAGGCTGGTGAGGAAGGAGGGAATAGGTGGAGGGCTCTTTTCACCATAAGACCCCCGCCGCCGGCACTGGGGCATAAACAGTATACCTGGTGGTACCCAGTCTGCTGAAGATCAGGGCATCCAGAAGGGGTGAGACATCATGTGTCCTTGAGGATCGGAAGAGCAGGTGCTTTGGACAGAGAGAATGGAACAGGCAAAGGCTGGGCAGTTGGCTTTAGTGAGGCTAAGGAGGATGGGGGCTTGGCTACCATGGTTATGGGGTGGGGCAGGGCCCTTCTGTACTGAGAGCCACACTGTCCCTTCCTGGCACAAACTGAGTAATCAGACTTAGAGCTTCTCCCACAATGCTGGCCACAGCCTCTGGCCCCCGCAGGCCTTTTGCCTCGACTGCCAGAGGAAGGACCAAGTCAGGAGCTACACAGGATTGGGGGCCCCACCCCCCAAATCCCCAGGTGCATCCACCTGAGAGAACCTGCCCGCCCTGAGCGCCAAAAACCAGGACCCATCCATCTGTAGGTCAGTGCTCCGGGCCCTTAGCGCCCCCTGTGGGCAGGGAACTATACTAATGGGGGGAGGCCATCCACCTGCCTGAGGGAGGAGACAGACACGCCCCCCACCAAAGCACACAGGCCTTGCCTGAGGGTAAGCCCGGTGGTGCTGCGATGAAGGGGACTCAGACATTGACCTACTAGCTCCAGTCTGAAATTCGGCTCGTCCTCGGGAAGATCCCACTCCGACGGAGATGTGTTCTATCATCAAAGCTCCATTCTGAAGGGAGAAAGAGTACGGGGCTTCAAGAAACTTAGTCTGAGGGTAGAGACACGCGGCCACATAGAATCCTTCTGGATCCCTCAATCTGTTGCAGACGTGGATTAGACATTTCAGTGACTTCAGTACTGCTAGAAAAAATTACAAGATGTCCAGTTAAATTTGAATTTCAGATAAACGACGAATAATGTTTTAGTATAAGTATAGCCCATACAACATATGGGGCGTACTTATACTAAAAAAAGTATCCATTGCTTATTTGGGATTCAAATTTAACCGGACATCCTGTATTTTTACTTGTCAAAGCTGACAACTCTAGATGCGTCCAATCTAAGGGAAGAAGGAAGGGGAAGGACCCCAGAAACCAAAATGCAGGTAAACATTACAGCGTGCTCCAGCTCAGGAGAGTGGTGGTGGGGCGGGAGGGGAGTCCTGGGGCGCTGGCTCGCAGCAGTTTAAAATTCCTTCCAGGCCAGATCCCTAATCCCTTGGTGCACAATGGCCGCCTTCTCCCCCACCGCCTGCGCCCACGCCCTCCCCCGCGGGGCCGTGGCAGTGCCACCACGGGCCTCTTTAAGCCCCTTTGAAGCCGGCAGAGCCCCGCGCCGCGGGAGGCCCCGCCGCTATGCCAGCTATGCCAGCTATGTCCCTGCCGCCGCCGGCCACCACTGCTCCCCATTAATGCTGGCTAATCTGGCTAATAAATAAACTCCCCTCCCAGCCTCAGCCCCCCACTGGCTCCTCCCTGCCCCCCAAGAATTGATTTCAGGGCTCAGGTAAAACATGCGTCCCCATTCCCTTCTGCTGTCTTTCTCTGTCTCCTTTTTTTTTTTTTCTTTCGCCCTCCTAGACCTATTGCCCAACTCTGACGGAATTTGGGGAGTCTCTGCCTCGAGCTTTGCATCTTCATCTCTTTCAGTCCACCTGCGCGCGGGGAGCGGGCCACATGACTAGGTGCGGGGACACCACTCAATGCCCCGGGAAGATCCGCGGGACCGAAGAGCGCCCCCTGGAAGCCAGGGGAGGTGCGGGTCACGCCTCCTCCTGGCCACGACCTCCCGTCCCCGCGGAAGTGGGGCGCCTGGAGAGCAGCCCCGGGACAGGTGACTCCGCGCCAGGGGAAGGCGATGGCGCCTCCCGCGGCAGGAGTCTTTTCTCCACGGCCTCTGCCGCCCCCTGCGTCCCCACCCAGGCTTCGGAGAGTCTGACTCAGAGCCGAGCTCGCATCGCTTCACCTCCTACCACGCATCCGGAGCGCGCGGAGAAATTACAGGATTGCAGGGGCACGGCTAATGCGCTCTAATTACCCACCGCCGCTCTCCTCCGCGGCGCTCTGCTGCGCCCGGCCAACGCGCCCTAATTAGGCCGCCCCTCCCCGGTCCCAGAACCCGTCCCCAGTCCCCAGTCCCCAGGAGCGCGCTCGTTGGCTTTGCCCGCCGACGCCTCCTGTCGTCTTCCTAGACTGCCCCAGAAGAGAGCCCTGACACGCCACCTGTGATGGCGAGAGGGAAGGAGCAGGACTTGGAGATCCGAGCCTCAAGGGTCTTCTAGCGGCCTCGCCCCTCCCTCCCGTGAGCCGATAGCCCTGAGTTGTATGTCCGTAAGGGACAGGGGACTCCGAGAGTGGGGAGGAGGCAGGACCCGTTTCGTTGACAAGGACACTGAGGCCCGTGGAAAGTCACTGCCCAAATAAGGGCACCAGGGCAAGAGTATCCCCATTTTGGACTTGAGGCACAGAAAATTGAAGGCTGTCACTGGGAAGGCCACCCAGCCAGAACTCCCAGCTCGGCTTATTTCAGGGCTTACGACCCACCCCACAGGCTCCTTCCTCTGACAGGGAAATTACCCTCCCACCAGGAAAGGTGATACCCCCATCACAGACCTGGAACCCCCTGGGAGGCCAGAAGGCCCACCAGCTGTGGCCTGTGGGTCAGAAGGGAGCTAGTGAGGAGGGGCTAAAAAGTCTTGCATCCCAGGAAGGGTGGGAGAGGCCCTGAGACCCAGAAGCCAGGCCCTGTGGCCGGGCCACGCAGGAGGAGCAACTTGGCTGTCAGCTTCTTTATCCAAACCAGGCTCCGTTTCCTCTATCAGGAATTCTTTCCTGATGTCCAGGGGGTTGCAGATGTGTGGCCTTGGGCCAGGTTTAATCTTTAGTGAGGTTTTTTTGGCCTGCAATGAGTTATGTGTTTTGTTTTGTTTTGTTTTTTTAATTGAGTATGAGAGCTGACAGTGTGAGCTGTCTGATTGCCCTCCCCATTGACAAAGGTCAGTGTGGTTAGACTAGTCCCCAAAGGCATTTGGGTTTGAGACCCCTGATTGAGACCAGTCCACTTGGCCTTGCCTTTAACCTTTCCTCAGGAGCCAGGATTTTTGTCTGCACTAATGCCACCCCCTGGAAGTCTGCACATTTCTTGGTAAGCCTGCCCAGGTGAGTGACCCTGGGAGTCCTTCTTTAGACTTCCCACATGCGGTGGTTGGGGAGCTGCACATGCCTCTGGAAAACCCTCTTGTACCCCATTTTTTTTTCATCTTCAGTTTCAATCTGCGCCTTGGGTGTGCCTTCCTCAGGAGGGATGACAACTGCTTTTCTGCCATGAAACTAAAGTTTCCTTGAGGGCAGGATATTAGATCTCTCCCTTTAGTCTAGGATCTTACTGAGGGCTAGGGAACTGGGGTGTGGAGGTAGTACCCTCCATCACAGGGAGCTCCCCTAGGGCAGGGCGGTCTCCCCCCTCAGACTAGGGCTCCCTGAGGGCAGGGCTGTGTCTCCCCTCAGACTGGGGCTCTCTGAGGGCAGGGCTGTGTTTCCCCCCTCAAACTGGGGCTCCCTGAGAGCAAGGCTGTGTCTCCCCCTCAGCCTGGAGCTCCTTGAAGGCATTGGGTTCTCTCCTGAGATGGGGCCTTTGCACCCCACTCCAGCCCTCTGGCTCTGGCAACACCCAGGCATTCCTCCCAGGACACCGTTTGTCACGCTTTGATGAATGAAACCTACTAAGAATAACTCAGTCCTTGTAGTTTCTAAAGGACAGAGGTGTGGAGTGAGGGAGGAGCTGGTGACTTTGGGGGTGGGGGGGGAGATGGACGCACTCATTCATCCAACAGCATTTTCCCAGGTGCCCATCTGGACTCTGAGGGGAGACACAGTGAGTGCCACAGGGCCCCCTACTATGCTCTTTCTGCTGTTGTCAGTAGGGGGGTGTCCACAGGACCCCTGAAACTGAAATCCCCACTCTCTTCTTCACAGCTTTCCCACCCCAGAAGTCATCACCTGAAAGCCACCCAGCCCAGTCCATGCCTGGAACAAGCTCCCTCTGCTTGGAACTCAGGTGTTTGGAGACAGGGTCTGCTTCCAGTGGGTCACGGGCTGTGGGGTGGGAGAGGACCACTGAAGCAGGCTTCCTCCTCCTATGGACACCTGTCAGAGTGACCATGGGAGAATGTAGAAGCAGTCTCAACCTGGCAGGAGGGCCTTTGGTGCTCTGAGTGGGGAAGCAGGTGCGAGTGACCCAAAGGATGAATCCCTGTCCCTTGCTCCCTCTCCGCACTTCCTCCCTCATCCTGCCCCTTCCCACTTCAAGACCTCAAGCCTCCAGTTAAGAATCAAACCACCTTTCCAGGGGCGCCTGGGCAGCTCAGTTGGTTAAGCATCTGCCTTTGGCTTGGGTCATGATTCCAGGGTCCTGGGATTAAGCCCCACATCGGGCTCCCTGCTCAGCGGAGAGCCTGCTTCTCCCTCTCCCTCTGCCTGCTATTCTAGTACTTGGGCTTTTTCTCTATCTCTCTGTCAAATAAATAAATAAAATCTTAAAAAAAAAAAAAAAAAGAAAGAAAGAAAGAGTTGAGCCACCTTTCCAATGCAACTCTTCTTGCAGGCCCTTCATAGGGGGCCCGTGGAGTGGGGAGGCTGTGACCTTAACCCACTTCTCTGGATGGGCCTTCCTGGCACCCCACCCCCAACTGCCACCTCCTGAGAGGGATATTTCAGCCTGGTCTTGGCAAGAACGTCAGCCTATGAGCCAGGTGGCCTTGTATGGTACCAGCTCTGCCACTGATCCCATCCATTCTTCATCCTTGAGAAGCCCTGTGGTCCTCTGGGCCTAGTTTCCCCATATGTAAAAGGACTTTTGTCCAGTTTCCATGGTTTTTAAACCTTTCTTTTTCCACCCTAAATAATGGATCTTTCTGTTTAAATAGTAACTTAAGTGGCATCTCCACTAGTAACACAGAAAATGTTTGGGGTTCTATGGTCAAAATAGGAGTGGGGGCCCAGAACCCCAGTCCATCTCTCTTTCTCTCTCTCACACACACACACACACACACACACACACACACACACACACAGATCAGCTCCAGAGCACTCCAGAGAGCATACCTCATAAACCTCTGAACCCTGAAATCCTTCCCTTGCAAGCATTCTGGGGTCCTCCCATGGCTGAGAGCTCTCGAACTGGGCTCTGAGCATGAAGCAGTGATTGTGGGCCTTCCGGGTGTAGGGAGCAGGGCCCCTGGGTAACAGGGCAAGGAGCTCTAACAGATAGGGGGCGTTCTATCAACACTGGTAAGTCCAGTGAGGCTGGACTGACTGACTTCCTTCCTTCCTTACTTACTGGACTCCAGTGAGCACACCACCCTCCTTATCCACCCCTGCCACACCCCAGCCAGAAGTCAGGGGGCTTCTCTGGTGCTGGGCCCCTCAGCTGGAGGGAGGGCGGGATGAGTGGAGACAGAGAGGGCCCTTCCCCAGTAGGATGGGCAGCACTACGGCAGGAGCCTCTGCAGCTATTTTCTGGAATCCCTCTCACTATATCTAGGACGAGGAGAATGGCAGGGGTTGGGGGGCTGGTAAGGGCCCCGAAGTGGCTGAGCCGTAGGGGGCTGGGCATCAGAAAACCCAACTGGGATTTTGTACTCCACTGCAGGAGACCCAGGGAACCCCCCAGCACCACTGAGGCTGCGAGTGCGAGACTTTGGTGCCAACGGGGGAAGGCAGGTGGGAGGGGGCCCATCAGGCACTGGTAAGAGGAAGGCCAGGAGCACCTGGGTGGCTCAGTGGGTTAAAGCCTCTGCCTTTGGCTCGGGTCATGATCTTAGGGTCCTGGAATCGAGCCCCACATCAGGCTCTTTTCTCATTGGGGAGCCTGCTTTCTCCTCTCTCTCTGCCTGCCTCTCTGCCTGCTTGTGATCTTTGTCTGTCAAAAAAATAAATAAAATCTTTAAAAGGAAAAAAAAAAAAAAGAGGAAGGCCAGATGAGGAGGGGAGTGGGTACCATAGAGGGAAGAAAGATGGCGCCAAAAAGAGGCAGGACTGGGCCTGGGGTCCCAGCACAGGGCAGCAGGGCGGGTCCCTCCAGAATGGGAGAACTGCCAAAGTACCCAGCCCCTCCTCGCCAATAGATAGACCGTGCTCAGCAGTGCTGAGAAAGGCTTGTGTTCAGCCCAGCCACCCAGGGTCACCAGGCAAAGGAATGCAGTCCCCTCACTGACACCCCCAGGCACACCTGCCCAGCCCCGGAGAGACCAATTTTCCCAATTTAGGGAACCTTACCATCCTCTATCCCAAACACCCACACACTGGCATTTGTTCCCTGGAGACTTCACTGCCTTGGCCTTGGAAACTCCTGGATCTCTGTTCTGCGCCAGGCACAGCTCCAGGCACTGGGGCTTCAGGAGCGGAAAAATCAGCCAGTCTCTGCCCTCATGGTACTCACATTCTAGGGAGGGATGACCGCTGAGCAACAAGTCAGAAAAAAACGAAAGTTCAGGGCACCTGGGTGGCTCAATTGGTTAAGCAACTGCCTTTGGCTCAGGTCATGATTCCGGGGTCCTGAGATCGAGTCCCACATTGGGCTCCCCCTGCTCTGTAGGGAGCCTGTTTCTCCCTCTTCTGCCTGCTACTCCTCATCTTGTGCTCTCTCTCTCTCTGTGTTAAATAAGTAAATAAAATCTTAAAAAAAAAGAAAGGAAGGAAGGAAGGAAGGAAGGAAGGAAGGAAGGAAGGAAGGAAGAAAGAAAGAAAGAAAGAAAGAAAGAAAGAAAGAAAGAAAGAGAAAAGACAAAAGTTCAGGTTGTGGTAAGACTACAGGAGGGGAGAGTGTTGGGGTGACTGGGGAAGTTTCAGATGGCATTGTCAAAGACCATCTTCAGGGGGAGGTGATATTTGAGGGGCGACCTGAACTCTGAGAAGCCAGTCAGGCTTCGGAACCAAAAGGAGTCCAAAAATGTACAATTTTTTTAAATAGGAAAGAACAGGAATCCACAAACATTGACGGGCAGGGAAGTGAGGGATGTTTTGGGGCCTCTGCTGTGTGTCGGGCCTGTCAGTAGGATAATCATGTGCGCCGTCTCCCACCGCCCGCTTCAGAACCCTGTGTGTTAAACAGTATTATTTTCATTTTACAGATAAGAAATATGAAGCCCAGAGAAGTTATTGTTTCATTTGTCTAATAGGATATATTGAGTTTTAGCCTCTAACACCATAATAAATACCACAGGGGCCCTGCCCTGTCAGGGCCTCCAGTCTGTGAGAACACAGAGGTGGATTGGGGAGGGCTTCCTAAAGGATACCATGTCTCAGCTGAGTCTGAAAAGATGAGGAAGTGAGGAGAGGGGCCAGGGGGGCTAGCACCAGTGGCAGGGTGACCTGTGGACAGAAGTAAAGGACTGGAGTGGTGGGGGTCCTGCCCACTTGCCGGGTCAGCTCCCCGAGGGTCTGGGGTGGTGAGTGAGGAACCTGTAGGCAGACAAGGGAGGAGGGCAGAAGGGACCACCTGGTAGGGCTATTAGGCAAGGCAGGTCTGGTGGGACCTCTTTCAAGGCTGTGATGTCTTGGCTACCCCCCAAGGGACACAATTACTAATGGCAAAAGACAGCTGTGAGCCAACAGCAAGGCCTGGTTGGACAAAGCACACATGTTCACACACTCCACACCCACAGACCCAAACGGATGTGGTCATGCCACACGTGTGCGCACATGCAGCTTCCCCACTCCTTGGGCTGTATTGACGAGGGCTGCAGAAAGGACAGGACAGGGGGTCAGAGATCACAGGACAGTGTGGCTCCATCCTAGTGTAGGCCCTAGGCACCTCTTTCTGGAGCCCCAGGGTAGATGATGTTCCAAACCCTCCCCTCCCAAGCTCTCAAGCCCCTTGCCTTCCCTGTCACCCCCTCCCCCATACACTCTGAGATCTCACCTGCCAGTACCTTGTCCAGGATGGACCGACAGGACGTTCAAACTCCCTGCCAGTCACATTCACGGGGAATACAGCCCTGCACACCACAGCCAGCAGCAGAATCCAGACTCAGAACAGACCCTGCTGGACTGGAACAAACAGGCCATGTCAGAGATGAGCGTTTGTACCCCAACACAAGGTCTCCAACACAGGTCAGATGCCAAACAGCTCAGACACAAGCTTGGGGGGGGGCACAAGTAAGATCAATTTGGGGGAGCATTCCTGGGAGGCAACTTTTCCCTTATGAATATACAGATCTGAGCTGTGCTAATGGAAGGAGAACAGCCAGCTAGAAGAGAGTGGGGCAGCCCCCAGACTCCGAGCTGGCCAGACCGTTCACGAGCCGTGGGTCCAGACCTGGAGATCTCCCCCTGAAGGGGACACTGACAGAGTGACAGGGTGGGGAGGGATCTAGAAACCCCATCATAGGAGGAACTACCACAAGGATGTTTAGCCCCCAAAACAAAAGACTCTGGCATCTGGGAGGTCCCCGCTCTAACCACAGCCTTTGCCTACTGGCAACTTTCTTGCGCCTAGTTAAGCTACAGCTCCACTTCCTTGGGGAAGCCTTTTCTGACCTCTCTGGCAATTATGTCCCACGGTTATATGCTCTGTCTGCCACCCAGCCCTGGTCTCGGGGTAGCACTTACCAGAAGTAGCTTTACCTATGTGAGTGTTCTCTTTGTGCTGTCTCCCTAAGAAACTGTAAGCAGCGTGAGGTTAAGGGCCCTATGTGCTATTGCTTACTATTGTTTTCCTCGTATCTGGCCCATCCTAGGAGCTCCATAAACATCCACAGAGGGAGGAAAGAGGTGCCTTGAACCGTCCGAGGGCTGCCGCATGTAGGTTCTCCAGGGCCAGAGGGAGCAGGAGCACCAGCAGAAGGTCAGCCTAGGGAGTCAGATTTCAGATCATCAATAGTAAGGTTTTAAGAAGTCAGATGGTCACAATGTGGACCAGGCTGCCTCAGAAGACGGTGAGTTTCTCTGGATGAGTTTAAGCAGAACCAGGAGGAGCACTTGTCAGAGGTGTTGTTATGTGAATGAATGAATGAATGAATGAATGAGGATGATTACTACCGAGTATTCATACATGAGTAGGAGGTTGCTGACAGCTGACCCGTGTCTCAGAATTGCATCGGAGTCGAACCCCAGGAGAACAAAGAGTCATGGACCCCGAGACGCCCGCCACACACACACTTAACAGAAAAGCACACTTCTAATCCATCCAGCAATGCTGGACATGTCGTGCTGGATAACATTTACAGCAGGGCGAGGATGGAGGTGTCTTGGGAGCAGCTCCATCCTGATTCCCCTCTCACTCTTCCCAAAAAGATCACCCCCTTTGGGCTACTTTCCCTGGGGTTGACCCCTTGGCATCAATCTGTCCTGAGGTCAATGCTCCTGTGGCAGCTTCCTCCTCGGGGCTGGGGATGGGATTGAGAAGGAAGAATTTGGCACCTGGTGTCACCTCTGGCCTGCAAAGGGTGGGGTGGGCGGGGCTGGTGCCCCAGCTCTGAGCTCCCCCCAGCATGTTCGGAAGTCTGAGATGTAGGTCCAGTTCATGCTCATGATCCCTCCCCTCCCTCACCCCCCTTCCCAGGCCACTGCTCTGTGAGCTTCCCGAGGAGGAATTGTAGTGTTACCTGCCTCTATCCCATCCCTGGCTCAGAGAAGGGATGGTGAGCAACACAGGGACCAGGGCTAACAGAGCTGAGATAGAAAGTGGTGTTCTGCTCAGGGAGACAGAGATGGAGTACTTTCTAGCCAGACTGCGGTAGCATCTAGACAGGGACCGGGAAGAACGCACCCTGGGGCCCCTGAGGCTGGGACCAGGTTGGACTTGTCTTCTGTCTGTGCTCTGGGCCTGCCCTGTCTCCAGCAGCGCTGCTGTGGCCAGTGACCTGTCAGTGACTCACAGCCAGCTGTGGACACAGAGGGGAGAAAGTGGCCCCCAGCTGAGCTCATGTGCTCGCAATTAGCCCTCTATGCTTCCTCACCAGGGAGAGCCTCCCGGCTTCCGCGCACGCACGTCCCAGGCTCCCTTTCGCAACCGCAACGTGCCTCTTGCTGCTTATTTTAGCCTGATGAAGCCTCTTGAAATGTCAGAGCTGGAACCAAGTTGGGATCGTGCATGGCAATCCTTCCATTCAACAGGAGGAAAACGGATATTCAGGAGAGTAAGGGATGTGTTTCAGGGCACATAGCTAATTCGCTGAAATTCCACGGCAGGCTTTGGGGACCCAAATCCAGGTGTCCTTAACTCAGAGGGAGCAGTGCCCTTCAGCCAGCCCCTGACCACACTTCTGGAACCTCGGAGCCAGCATGCCCGGATTTGAACTCGGATTTGCCCTTTATCAGCTGTGCGACTACAGGCAAGTTAGCCTGTCCATAAGTCTGCCTCCTCATCTGTAAAATGAAGCTAACAATGGTACCTACCTCGCAGACTGGTGTGAGGAGCCAATGCGTTAACCTAGCCGAATTGCTGAGACCAGTGCCAGACACCGGACATGAACTCATGTTAAAGCATGTTAGCTAGCATGCTTAGGTGCACAGTGGAGTTACCAGACCTCTGTCCTTGGTGTGGAAAGTTCAAAGATTAGGGTTTATTGGTTTGCCTAAGAGTGAGCAGATTCCAGGAGGCTAGCCGTATAACCAGGTTTGTGGCAAAACCATGTATGGTTTCCTGCTGAGGCCAGGTGTTGCTGTCAGAAGGAGCAGACGGGGCCCAGAAGCTGCGGGCCTCCCGCTCTGGCAGCTGCCACCTGAGATCCCAAGATTGCAGACATCACAGCAAGGGCCAGTGGAGATTCTCAGGGCAGCTCAAGCTGGAAGAACGTGGAGAAATGCCCTTTTGAAGGCAAGAATGAGCCTCTGCTCATCTGCAAAACAGGGGAAAGCAGAGCCTCTAATGTGCAGGGTGGTAGTGGGCATGAGCTCGGGGGGAGGGGGGCACTCTATCCAGCATTATCCTCTCCCGCCCTCCTCCTTCCTGCCCCTCACCTGCTTGAGGCCAGTCGTCTCAACTCAGAGCAGCGTCTCCTGGACCGTGCTGAATAAATATTAACAAATTCTTCTCCTGCCATGTTCCTCCTTTGCTAGTCACCAAGGCTCTGGCACCTCACACCAGAGGAACTATGGTCCCAGGACATGTACAAGATCCGGGTGGTCTCATTCCAGCCACGGAGATGCTTGTGGGATGGATGACTCGGTGAATTAGTGAGTGGAGCAATTCCCAGAACCTCCCAAAAACTCACCCTGAGCTTTCAACATTGGGCAACATTCTGGTTGCCCCAGAGCCCCAGCCACAAACAACCTCTGAGGAATGGCTGCTCTTCAGTTGTGTCATCCCTCATCAGCGCTCATCTCTCCTGAACACAGCAATCTTTCTCGGCCCCCTCCCTCTGCCACCGGCAAGACTGGACAACCAGGTGTGTTTGCAACCTCCTCCAGCAACAGTGCTGGAGGTCACAACCATCCTATTGCCCATAACCACTGCCCACAAGCCTGGTGATCAGTCTTGAGCCCTGTCCTGCTCTCCGAGTCACAGCAGTCCCCCATCCACCTCACCAGCCTCCTGGGACAGCCTGCATAAGAAAACTGACTTTTCGGCTTGCTCTTGCAACTCCTCTGATCGCTCATGGTGCTCTCCAAGTCCTAGCCGTTGCTCTTCTGGCCCCAGCTGGTCCCTACCCATGGAGTCCTGCTGTGGGTGGCCTTTCCTCACCAGGAACATCACCTACTGTCTGGTCTCCTCTCCATCAGGGCAGACTGAAACTCCACAGATTGGGAAGCCAGCCAGAACCAGCTGGGAGTTTGTGCCCCTTTGAAGACTGGGACACTGAACACTAGTTCTGTCCTCAGATGCCAAGTGATGGTTTATTCCAGCTTTTTCCCCATCACCTACCATTCAGGCCTCTGGATGGTACAGAAAGCTGTAGGGCCACTAGTGGTCCCTACAGACCAACCAGAGGATTCCAAGAATATCCAAACTGGCAGATCCTGAGGCATCACCCAGTCTAGTGGAGATACTCCTAGAGCATTTGAAAATGTGTTAGTCTTTTTTATTGTAACAATGATGAGAGGTGGTCTGGCACTGGATGCCATGGGCCAGGGATGCTAAATATCCCACAAAGCACAAGGCAGTTTGCACAACGAAGAATTACACTCCTCTGTCCATTGATAGATGAATGGATAAAGAATGCGTGAGATATGAATGTAAATGGGCCAAATGTCCCACTCAAAAGACACAGGGTATAAGATTGGATAAAAAAGCAAGAACCATCAATATGCTGTCTGCAACAGGCTCATTTTAGACCCAAAGACACCGCCAGATGTAAAGTGAGGGGATAGAAAACCATTTATCATGTTAATGGACATCAAAAGAAAGCTGGGGTGTCAATCCTTATGTCAGACAAATTATATTTTAAACCAAAGACTGTAATAAGAGAGGAGGAAGGACACTATCATAATTATAGGGTCTATACAACAAGAAGATCTAACAATTATAAACATTTATGCCCCTAACGTGGGAGCAGCCAATTATATAAGCCAATTAATAACAAAATCAAAGAAACACTTCAATAATGCTACAATAATAGTGGGGAACTTAAACACCCTCTGCACTGCAATGGACAGATCATCTAAGCAGAAGACCAACACAGAAATAAGGGCTTTGAATGACACACTAGACCAGATGGACTTCACAGATATATTCAGAACATTCCATCCCAAAGCAACAGAATACATATTCTTCTTGAGGGCACATGGAACATTCTCCAGAACAGATCACATCCTGGGTCACAAATCAGGTCTCTACAGGTACCAGAAGATTGGGTCATTCCCTGCATATTTTCAGACCATAATGCTTTGAAACTGGAACTCAATCACAAGAGGAAAACTGGAAAGAACTCAAATACATGGAGCTAAAAGTGCCCTACTGAAGAATGAGTGGGTCAACCAGAAAATTAAAGAAGAATTTTAAAAATTCATGGAAACAAATGAAAATGAAAACACAACTCTTCAAAATCTTTGGGATGCAGCAAAGACAGTCCTAAGAGGGAAGTATATAGCACTATAAGCCTTTCTCAAGAAACAAGAAAGGTCTCAAATACACAACCTAGCCCTACACCTAAAGGTGCTGGAGAAAGAGCAGCAGATAAAGCCTAAACCCAGCAGGAGAAGAGATCAGAAATCAATGAAATATAAACCAAAGGCACGGTAGAACAGATCAATGAAACTAGGAGCTGGTTCTTTGAAAGAATTGATAAGATTGATAAACCCCTGGCCAGACTTCTCAAAAAGAAAAGAGAAAGGACTCAAGAGGACTCAGAAATCAAGAATGAAAAAGGAGAGATCACAACCAACACTGAAAAAATACAAGCAATTATAAGAATGAATTATGAGCAACTGTATGCTGACAAATTAGGCAATCTAGAAGGAATGGATGCATTCCAAGAGATGTATAAACTACCAAAACTGAAACAAGAAGCAATAGAAAACCCAAACAAACCCATAACCAGCAAGGAAATTGAAGCAGTAGTCAAAAATCTCCAAAGAAACAAGAGCCCAGGGCCAGCTGACTTCCCAGAGGAATTCTACCAAACATTTAAAGAAGGATTAATACCTATTCTTCTGAAGCTGTTTCAAAATAATCAGAATGGAAGGAAAACTTCCAAACTCTTTTTATGAGGCCAGCATTACATTGATCCCAAAACCAGACAAAAACCCCACCACAAAGAATTACAAACCAATATCACTGAGGAACATGGATGCGAAAATTCTCACCAAAATACTAGCCAATAGGATCCAACAGTACATTAAAAGGATTATTCACCATGACAAGT